GGGGACCCCGCAGGTGGCCGGGCAGGGGGGTCAGTAGCCGCGGGGCGCTGGGAGCGGCGGAGGGGGCGAGTGGGGCAGCCGCGCGGCATTCAAGCAGCGGGGGTCAGAAGCGCTGTGCCCCGGTCCCTCTACCTGCCTTGACGACGCCGGGGTGGTCGAGGCGCTGCAGCAGGGTCACCTCCTTGAGCAGCTTGTAGCTGGCCAGCCTGTGGCAGCCGGCGGGGTGCCCGTAGCGCTGCACGCAGCGGCTCACGTCGCTGCCGGCCCGGTGCACGGACTTGAGGGCGATGGCTCCGGCCCCCGGCAGCGCCGCTCGCAGCACCAGCTTGGTGAAGCCGGAGCCCACGACGCCCAGCTCGGTTACGCGGCTCAGGTCCCCGCAGCCCAGGCGGCCGCCGCGGCTCAGCCCCAGCTCCGTGTCCCCGGCAGACGTGGCCAAGCGCAGCAGGTCCCGCTGCCTCCGGCTCAGCTCGTCCAGCAGAGCCGGGGGAGGCCGCCTGGCAGGCCGGGGGCAGCCCCGCGTCCCATTCGCCCCCCAGCAGGGGCCAGCGCCCGGGAAGCTCTGGAGGGCCAGGGCGAGTAGGGCGCTGGCGGCCAGGAGGCCGAGCAGCGCCGCCCCCCGTGGCCGGGCGAGGCTGGCGCCCTCTTTGCCCCTGGCTGCCCGCATGCGGGACGGGCTGAGCGCGGCAGCTCCCCAGCGGCCCCGCCGGCTCTGCCTGCCCGTGCAAGGGGCGAGCCCAGGGAGGCGTGTCCGTCCGTCTGTCCCAGGAGCACCGCGCCGCTGCCAGCGCCGGGACTCGGCTCCCTGGGGGGCAGCTGGCCGCTCCCTCCGAACGGTTCCCCCTTCGCTCGCTGCCCTCTCCCCCTGCCCGCCTCACGGAGCCTTTGGGCAGCCTGGCGTCTGCAGCCAGCCCCTCCTCTCACCCAGCCCGTGGGTGGGGGCCGGGGAGGCTCCGGTGTTTTAAACCGGCCCTTTCCGTTCCTGCAGTTCGCCGCAAACTGCCTTTGGGAGACAGGGAGGGTCAAATCCGGCCCTGATTTCACTGCACTGTCACCGCCGCCGAATTTGGCTCGTTAGACTTGGGCTGCTCTGACCGGCGCAGCTGAGAGGAAGGATGGTCCCTCTGATTAGCTTGCTAGACTCAGGAGACCCCAGTTCAGTTCCCTGCTCCACTACGATCCCCGTGTGACCCTGGGCAAGTCACTCAGGGCAGATCCTCAGCGGTATTCAGGCACCTAAAATCAATGGGAGTTAGGTACCTACATACCTTTGAATATCTGTCTCTTTGCAAAATGAGGCTAATAGCACTTCCCTACCTTACAAGGTGATGTGAGGGTGAGAGACTGTGGGTTACTCAGATACTAGGGTAATGGGGTACTTAGGTTCTGAGCCAACTCTATGGCACTGCAGTTAAAGGAATTACACTAGCTGTGAATTTGGTCCTCTGGCTTCAACTACACTGCTTTCAATAATTCGTAGAGACAGCATCGAGAAAACATGGTGGGTCTGACTGTGACTGGCCACAGCACCCTAGTATTTCAGTGGACGTAAATGACTAGAGAAGTCAGTATGCAGTGTTGCTGTAGCTCTGTGGGTCCCAGTATATTAGATAGACAAGGTGGGTGAGATAATATCTTTTATTGGACCAATTTCTTTTCCTCACCGACAGAAGACAGTCCAATAAAATATTACCTCACCCACCTTGTCTCCCTAGACAAGTCAGTGGTAGTCGAGAGCCTTAACTCTAAGGGCATCCTAAAGCTGCCCAGGCCTCTATCCCACTACTTGTTTGCTGCGGTGGTGCCAGCTGAACTCATCGCAGAGTGGCATGAGAAAGGTATCTTGGAGGAAGAAATAAGGCTGCCATCCCTAGAAGCCTTTGGGAGAGGATTGCAGAGTATCTCCATGAAAGTTTCGTCAAGATCTCTGAGGAGGATAAAAGAAACATCCCTATTCACATAAGAGTGCTTCACATTCTTGCCCCCCTTGCCTAGCCCAGCAAGGGAATGAAAAGCAGATGCCAGCTCTGCAGGGGGGTCATTTCAGATTTTGGTAGTGGGGGCAACTTTAACCATGATTCCAGGGGCTACTTAAACACCTGAAAACTCTAGGTATTTTTGGCAGATAATAACTTAGAAATTAGTTTTGGAGCCTTAATACAAGAACTAAAAACTTTAATTGATAAATAAAATTTATTCAGAATATTTGCTCAATATCATTGTCCTTACAATATCACACCAATCACCCATATACTTTTTTATTTTCATTTCTATTACCATCTGGAAAATTATAAGCAAGCAAATATATGCACTCTTAATTTGTATATCTCATTTCTCATTAAAAAGTTAAGAAGTCTAAAGTCGTTGGGTTTCCCCTCAAACCTTCCTCTAAAATATGGAATAACTAACAAATTAGAGAACAAATTCATTTTGCACTAGCTTAAAAAAAAGGAAAGACAAAAAGCTTTTAAAGTGATAATTGGAAAGAAAATATTAGAATAGATTGACCAACATGGATTTCCTATCAGATCTAAGACACCTGAAAGTGTATTTCCAGTAGAAAAATGTTATCACCGTTTTCCAATGGCAATGTGTTTTCTTTTCCTATTAAATTACTTCAGTAATAAGAAATAAAGTCTTAAATATTGTAATCTGTTTATACAATGCATTTGATATTTCTCAGGCACAAATGAAAATACACTTCAGTTCAAGATACTTAAGGTGTGAAGCTTCAAAACATAAACACAAATTTAAAAATTGGACTTGCATTTAAGAACATTGAAGCACCATGACAGATATGTTTGTTTAATTCTTTGAGTGGCATTTTGATGGCAGGGAATTAGCTAAATAGGGAGACAAACGAAGGATGAGAGGACATTTAATCACGGGGATAAAATGGAAGGTGAAAGGAAGAGAGGAGGAGTGAATGGGGAAGAGAAAAAGGCTTGGTTTACACTACATCCACACCACTGAGCCACGTAGTTATACTGACCGTAACCCTCCATGTAGACAGCACTATGTCAGTGGATGAGCTTCTCCTGCCGACAGAGCTATTGCCTGTCACGGTGATGGAGTTATTAAGCTGACAGTAGATCTCTCTCCCCTCAGCTTAGAGCGTGTTCACCAGATGGGCTGCAGTGCAGCTGTGGGGATGTAAATTTGTAGTGTAGATCGGCCCAAAGATTAAAAACTCATCAGCAAAGCCCAACAGATCCCACGGTGCCTTCCTCTGCAGCATGAAACAGGGATCATCTGGACACACTGCACCTAATCAAGTCTCTGCCACACACTTCATGGGGCTCAAGGCATTGGTGGCATCTCGGTCTCTTCTTCCCTGCCTGTGGCTTGCAACAGTTTAGCCTCTTGAGGACTGGAAAGGGGACAAGATATTTGACTCTGATTTGGTCCAATAAAATCTGTTTGGAGAGATTCAGAAGCAAGTTATCTATAAAATAAGGCACAGCCAGGCAGAGCAATTAACCCTGGTTCCCGGGTTACCTACCAAATTAGTGGGAGAGCTGGGGCCAGAACCCAGGAGTCCTGACTGTGTGGTACACTCAACTTTAGAGCTGCAGCATTATGGAGAGGAGAGAATGTTCGGGATCAAGAGAAGAGAAGGAGAGAGAAGGACAGTGGTGGGAGGAGCAGGAGAGAGAAAAGCCACCACAGGTGGATCAGGATGAGTCAGTGCAGCAGCAGTTCCAACACCAGAGAGAGGAGACGGCGCAGGAGCAGCACTGTGAAAAAGAGCAGCAACAAAACTCAAGGAGGATGCCCACGAGGGGGTGATCACAGATGCAGCACTATTGTGATATGGTCTCCTTAGTAGCCTGAGGTGAAAGGGACAGACACTGGTTAAATGGGAATTGGGGAAACTCTGTGACCAATACCAATGGAGCAGGAATCATGGGACCTTTATCTCTCCCCACTCCTCTCAGGGGAAAGTGTTGGAGCCCTATTCCTGACTAGGCCAGGAGGAGGAAGGCAAAGCATCTGTGTGAGTTAGAGATGGGTTGTACAAAGATACTAAAAGTCCAAAGAAACCAATGGCAGAGGTCTGTGTCAGGTCCAGAGGCACAGACTGGCACAGTGTCTGGATGGAGATGGTGGATGCCCTCACCATGGTGATGAGGTCTACAGTAGCTGCTGAGGGGTTGTCATGAATTGCTAAGAGTGCATCCAGCCAAGAGGCTGACCAGATGACAGGGTGAGAGTTGGGCATGCAACCTTCCAGTCTTTGCCAATACAGACACAAGCACACACCCATTCTCCCGTGGACACACGAGAATGCCTCACAAAGCAGGGCAGTATTTCTGCTACTGGGTGTCTCCCATTGTGGGCTATGGAGTCCCTCCTAAATGGGTGGTGGGCAGTGCAAACGGGGCCAAACCCTTCAGCTCCAGACTGTACTTCACAGATGATTGAATAAACGGCCCAGCCAGCAACAGGGTTGAATTCCTCCTGAACCCATTGTGATGGAGCTTGAAAGGGGTGAAATTTAGGGGGCTGTGATTCCATGGAAAGAAACTCAGTTCCCTGGAAATAACCTGGAATATAGGGCACAGCATCAAGGGTCCTGCCTGGCTACGGCCTTTAGAGTTACTGCAAGAAGAATAGTAATGAAATCATAACTGTTAATAGTGTCAGACTGAGTCTAGTGGGGATTGGAGCTGGTTGGGAGCAGGGACTATGATTGTGAAGTCAGTTAGAATGTAGCAGTTTCCTTGGGCAGCAGCTCTTCAGGGCAGTTGGGCTGATCAATGGACATCATAGTACCGATGGCCTCCGCTCTCCAGTCAGTTCTGCAGGACCAGCCCGTGCCTCTTGGGCAGGGTCAGCCCTAGACCAAATGGTGCCCCAAGCAAGGAGCATATTATCTCATAGAATATCAGGGTTGGAAGGGACCTCAGGAGGTCATCTAGTCCAACCCCCTGCTCAAAGCAGGACCGATCTCCAGACAGATTTTTACCCCAGTTCCCTAAATGGCCCCCACAAGGATTGAACTCAGCATCTTTGGTTTTCCCTCCTCCATTTGTTAAACTTTTGAATACTTTATTTTTTATTGCATGTGTAGCCCATTTTATGACTTTCATGCATGATTTGCATGCATGATTTATGTCACATAAGATAAATTTGCATCTGTAAAGCTGTATTTATTCATGCCATATAGAAGCAATAAAAAAAAATTGTTTCCTCCAAGTTTTCAATTTTAAGAATAACTGAAATGTACTAACATCAAAAAATGGAACTGTGCACCAACATTATGAGGACCAACATTAAATAGTGTTACAGTTGGTGACAGCCTTAGAATGTTAACTCTAGTCCTTTAGTTCAAAAGCTTGCTTTTCTTGCCTTTGCCCTCATGAACTGAAGCACAGCATCAGAGAGATCCAAAGACTGGCCAATGGCATTTTCAAGCGATAAAATAGCAAGCAATGTCAGTTTTTCATTGGGTAGCGTTGATCAAAGATATGTTTTAATGAGCCTGAGCTTCAAAAAGCTGTGCTCACCATTCGCAACTGTGACCGGCAACATGAACAGAATCCTCAAAGCTATCCACACATTAGGAAAAGTGTCCTTCAGCTCTGCATCATGAATGACTTGGAGAACTTGGAGTGAAGAGTGCTTCCTGTGTTCCAAAATGGGACGGATGTTGTCTTGTGTTCCCTCTAAGCTGCATGGTTGGGTGGCTGCCCAGAAGTGATTCAAGTGCCACACACTTGATTAGCAGAGCTGCGCACATTCATCAACGTGTGTTCAGGTGCCCCCTGCCCCCGCTGCTTTGAAGCCACATTGCTCCTGCAGCTGCTCCTGGGACCCTCCTGCTGGCTCTGCAGAGCGAAGAAGGGAAGGGTGCTGATGTCAGGGTGTCCCCCTCCCCCCTGCCCCTGTATCCCATCTCCACAGAGCAGGGGAGAGGGGACATGGCTCAGGACTCGGAACAGGAGAGCCACTGTGGTCTGAG